CTCACACTGAAGATTCCACTTTAATGCTCTTATTGGTGACCCATCTGATATGGACATTTGTTACTGTCCCTAAACATACATGTCCACTTCTCTTCGAAACTTATGTTCTACTTTGTTCCTTATTCCCTCATGCTGAGTGCCAAAACTAAGTAGTGAGATGTTTGTATTTTATCTACATGTTCAGTAAATGTGACACATCCCAGGTCATGTGGTATATATACAGAAAGTACACTTTTGTTCCTTTTCAGCATTCAAACTCTTGCTGTGTGATTGCATTTAAGTCCTTCATGAGTCCTTCTAAGTTTGCCATCTCTTGTGAAAGTTCTTCTGTGCTGCATATTTTCTGAAAAGCAGATGAGAACATTTTAGCAATTATATTAGAAAATTGAAAGTTGAATGAAGATTAATGACCAAAAGCTCTTGTTGTCACAAAAAAAAGAAGATTCCCTAATAGTTTTGACAATTCCATTGCAATTATCATTACTTGTTTATTTATTACTATTATTTTTTTTTTATCTTTTAACCAATTTTCAAGAAAATTGCATGATATGCACGACTTTGCCTACCTGATCCCCAGAAGTTTTGAGTAAATCTGGAGCCTTAGGTGTGACCACAGGCATTGGTGTTCTCGACTTCATCGCACTCACTGTTACTGTTGGCTGCTTCTTGTACGGACTTGTGGGTTGCTGTGGTTTGACTACTGCAGATGAAAGAAGCAGTATAAGGTTAACACTCAGAGCAAAGTGGGATCTTAAATGGCTACTGTGTCACTATCTTGTGATCTAGATTGCTAAAAAGTCCATGATTCTTATATTTTGTATTAAACTAAATATTGCCAGTCATTATTAAATAACCACTCTGCCTTCTATGAGGTAATAAGCAAAGGGTATCAAATTCTATTTATACAATTATTAGAATGTACATGTATACAAAACAGTATTCATGAAAATAAAAAACAAGAGCAAAGATATTAAGAAGGTAAAAGATATAATGAGGCATGGGTTGTCAAGGAACAGCAGACAGAGGTAAGTACACACAACTACTGATGCTATCTATAACTACGAAGATTAATTACATGACACTAAACAAGGAACATACATTTGAACAATGTTCTAAAAGCACACATTGAGGATGCTGTGAGATAATAAAAACATACAGGGCAAACGCTTTTGGCAATCTTCTTTCTCAATGATTCAGATTATTTCAAATGGTGCATTAAAGTTATCCCAAGTAAATCAAAATGCACTTTATTGTGTTAAAAGACGACAGGAATCCAATGAAAACAGCACACAGAGCAAATGACATGACTAATTTTTCTGTAGAAGTTTAATACAAGACAATAATCATGCATAAGAAAAAATACATAATATTCAATGACAATGATATGACTTTGTAAATGAAGATAATAGGGTGGAGGGGGTGTGACCAAGTGTGAATGTTTTTTATAGCATGCGCATCTAATCATGTGCTATGGGGTGCAGCTACAGCAGTTTACATATTGTACAACATCAACCAAATCCAGCGTATAATTTTCTCATTATTTGGCACTAGTAACCACAACGTATTACAGGGTGAACTTTTTACTGAGATATATTCACAATTCTATGGGGATGACAATACTGAGACAGGGGGGACAGCATACCTAGTTGCTTAGGTGCTGGAGGTGAGCCTGGGGCCCCCTGGTGCCGAGGGGGGCCTGGGACAGAGAAACTTTTAAGAGGATTAGGGGTGCGTTGTGGAAGGCTGTTACTGCTTTCAGCAGCAGTAGGTGTAGTGGTGCTGTGTAGATGCAGTTGATCATATGGTACAGGCGGTTGGTTATAAGATGAATCTGGAGATTGTGGCCCTGCAACAATCAAAGAGCAATGTGAAAGAGTTAGTAAGATCAACAATAAAAACAGCAAGAAACACTCTCCCTTCTCTACTTGACCTGTTATGTTAAACAGTTATTTCAAAGTATGCAGAAAAGACTAACTTCAACAGTTATTTCTGTGCAGTCCAGAGTTTTCTTACAGGTAGCTACAGTCCTGATATATCTGTCTCAAAAATAATTTTGCTTAATATTATGCATAATCATTTGCCATCTTTATGGATTGAATTAGAAAGGTATGAAAAAAAGTTCAGTCTTTTTTAGCATTTTTATACCATACGACAACAATAAAGGGAAACTCTTGAGCTGTTTCAACCACAAAAACTCTGGACTATCAATCAACAAACTACAAAGGTATGCAACTCCTTGAAATAATAGGAGACTGAATTTAGTTAGTAATTAAGTTAAACAATACAGTCAATGTTAATTTGCGAGGAAAGTTTCAGGTTAAACCTAAACCTAACTACTATTTCAGAGGGAAGAATAAATTAATCAGAGCCCCCTCTCTCACAGTTTTGGCACTAATATTAGTTTTGAATTAATGAAAACGGCTAATACTTTATATCACAGAATGTGTAGAAAATTTTGAAGAAAATGTCAAATTCCATGTCAACCAGGTATCTACTAGTTGAGGTAAATGGCATTATCTGCAGACTCAAATGGTATTGGTTTTGTGAAGGGGAAAAAACAACGCATAACTTTCCTCTTTAATACTGCATTATGCAAAAATATTATTTTGACATGGGTAGTTTTGAATATTACATGTGCAGCAGAAATGGCTTAAATCAGGACATGTCTTCAAACAAATATCTATAACCAAAATCATAACTACATTTCTAGGGTTTGTAACATTTCTATTATGTCAGGGAAAAACACCAACTAGCACAAAGATTAAGTGTTAGTATTCAAACACCAAAGATTCCGCAACCATGAAAAATCACAGGGGCATAATCTCAGTGATGGTAGTCTCTTTCTTTTGAAAATCACAAATGTAAGACACAATACATTAAATATGAAAATCAATAGACATAAGTTTTCATATGAGAGCTGTGTAGATTTCAAGATCCATTGTCTTGAAGGATAAGTATGTCAGGCCAACAGGAAAGAGACTCCAGATGGAATTTTCAGACAAGAGTGCTATCTTACGAGTATATGCACTGCCTCCTTGCTGGTCGCGCTGTAAGCTCTGCATTGATGACATTTTTCTGCGATCTAACGTACCTCCCATCAATGGCTGCATCTCTTCAATGTCTACACAATTGCATGCAATAACAAGAGAAAGCTGATGTTATCTAATGTTTGAAAACACACACTGTGAATGCAAAAATCTTGGGAAGGTCTTATGAAAATGTGGTATTATTTTCTTATTATTCTTAATGTTGCAAGACTCAGTTAATACTAAATGGCAAAAGCACTATGCTGGATAAAAAATCATGCAACACAAATGCAAACTTTGGTCTATCTAAATGGACATATGCAGTCACAGTTAATTTGTTCTCATCAATATGCTGAACTTGGTACTAAAACAGGTAGATGCATTTCAATATTTTCTCTGAAATACATTAGTAGAATGAAATGCATGTGACAACACTTTCCATGCACACTCATGCCATGGCATGCTTATCAACATCTAAACTTTAGAAAATAAAGATCATAGAGTGAAACATGTTTTAAGTTCAACACCAATACATCATAATTTGGCATAAAATCCACTTAACATTTCCTGTGCATACTGACAATTAAGTCACTTCCATTTACCTGAACCAGGTTGTGACACGTCCCCTGCATATACCCTGGGTGTCATGTTATATTGTGTTCTGGGGTAGACAGGTCTTGTGGGGACGTCGCGGTCAGATGGAGTATGCACATGGCCATTGGGAAGGGCAGTGGCAGTGGCTATGGCTAAAACATAACAACACAATCAATCCTGTGCACTGGGAGGGGTGATACAGGTTGATATATATACACCCAACGAAAGCTTTGTGATATACTCAGCCCGGGTTTTGGGGGTTTATTCAACCAGGAAACTGCACGCACAACCTCAGCTGTGAGATTTGAAATTTCATTCTTAACAGTGCTCAGGTAAATGGTTTAGTGGCACAGGCAACACTGAACACTTCACAGTACTCTTATCCATGCATATGAAAAATCATAGTATTTATTTAATCTTTAGCATATTACAATAGTTATACATATGACAACCAAAAAGTCACAAAATGATGAATAAACAAATATAGTGAAGCTTTACCTGAAAGTACTATAGAGAACACTCTATCCACTATACAATGTACGTAAGTGTGTTTTGAGAAAGTAGACAATGTGAGGATATATACTAATACAACATTGTATCAATATACAGCACAAGCATTCCACTATTCTAGAGACGATGGTTTACTAATAGACAAATTGATATATATGGGGCTACTTACGTTCTCTGGGAGGAGCAGGCTGTGAATCAACTGGGATCATTATAGGCCTGTGTCTGGGCATTCTCCTGTACCTCTCTTCATTAACGGTGGTCTCGAATTGATTTTGATCTAAAAAGCAAATTGAAATTTGCTAAAAATCTTTTAGAATCTTTTGGGGAGATGTCATTTTATGGACTTTTATTCAATTGACTGTTACATATATATATATTAAAAAAACTCCATAAATAATTGAACCAATAACAAATTGTTACCATCATCCAGTTTTTCCTGAGAGCTCCTGGGTATAGGAGTCATAGTCATGGATGTCTCATGGTCACTGTTTTTGTCCATACTCTTCAATTCCAAATCATGGTGAATCCACAAATCTGGTGGCTTGAGGTCCTTTGGTCCTGGACCTTTACTCTTGCTGGATGGATGGTAGCCAGACCTTGGAATAGAAGATATTTTGAATAATATATCACGCATTTAGATGTTTTTTTAAATGTTTAATATAAACTTATATCTAACCAGTGAATCTCTCTAAAATTATAATAAGTTTTCCTACTGGATGAAAATATATGCTCAGCTTTTACACCCATGTGTTTTTTTACTGTGGCAAGTCAAACAGTTCTACATTTTAGTATCATAACAGAAATAAACCTATTTACTTTTCATCACTGCTATTCTGAGAGTTGTACATTTTTAAGCATAATTGTAGAAATAATCTTATCTAATTCCAAATATCTTGTTTAGCTAAAAATCTTTTAAAATGTCACTGACCTTCTTCTTTCCCCAGGGCTCTTCCTCCTGCACACAATGACAACAATAGCAATAACAGTGACAATGATGACACCACAGACACAGGAGGCAATGATGATCCACATGGCATTTTGGCTTATACCACCTTTGTTCTTCTCAGCCTCCTCTTCATTGTTTGCTGAAAAAACATTTCCATTATAAGTTAACAGAAAAAAAAAAACATCTAACCGAAATGAGCTGAAGGTCTTTAAGCCTCCAGAGATGATCAATCAGACAATGTTTTAAAATTGCTTACTATTTATTTTCCTAAGTTTTAAATGTTTAGGACGCTCTAAGGGCAACCTACTAGGCTGAAAAATATGACTGGTCTTGAAGCAGTGGAATATGCTTCTTAAACAAATGGCGTTTTACTTTTTCACCAATACTATCTGAAAACTTAGAGTAAAGAGGGAAGTTTTATCATACCTATCTCTTTGGCGCCATCTATGATAACATTGACCATATCATGTCCATCAATACCTGGGTGACCCAACTTTCCTCCTGGGGTGTTAGGGTCATACTCTGGGGTATCGATGGGGCCACCACCTGTACCATCAGCTGAAAGAGAGCCACAGGAATGTTTGTGTAACAGTTTTCAGTTTTAATATGGCAAAGGCAGTTCCATTTACTACTGGCATTGCATTAAGATTGTAATTCACAAGATGAGAAAGGGTTCAATTTCATGCTAATATTAGATGGGTACAGTACCACTACTATCATGTCTGTAAAATCCTTTTGGAGTATTTCACACATCAAGCAATTCCTTCAACAGAGTTGCATATATTCCAGTACAGCCTGTGTTTTTTTTTTGACCATAACACAGAAACCAACTATATATACATGTGCACACTAGGCAATGAGTGCAATCCATGATCATATATAAGACAATTTTTTTGAATGGCAAGCATAATCCCAAAGACAAAATCTGTTGCTGACAAACAAAACTGACTGTGAACAGAATAACCCTTTTTACAGGTAGGAGACATACTATATATGATATAAAGGTATTCCATACCTCTGGGGGTCCTGTAGATAACTGTGGATGACATAGGGCCATAACCTTTGCTGTTTCTGGCCTGCACCTTGAAGTAGTATGTTGTGTGTGGTGTCAGGCCTTTAATGGTAATGGACAGTTTCTCTCCCAGAACACCTTCTACCACCCAGTCCCTGTCCTTCTGAGTGGCATCCGTAGTATAGAACACTAAGTATCCTGCCAAGGAAGAAATAATAATAATAATAATAATAATAATAATAATAATAATAATAATAATAATAATAATAATATAGGATTTTTTAAAAATAATTCTACCTTTTTTCTATGTTTAAGACGTATCATTATCTTAAAATGAAAATGTTATCTTATTTCAAACAAATTATTTATGTAAACAAGCCATTATAATGATAACAGCAGCCTAGAATTGTCTTTGTTGACCCCAGTACCTGTGATCTTCCCATTTGGTATCTTGGGAGGCTGCCAGTTCAACATAATATTACATGTGGGTCCTTTCTTACTGACCGGCAGTGGCACTGGAGTGAGGTCACGTGGAGCAGTGGCAGGAGCTGGCAAGGAGAAGAGAATTTTCAGTTCATAAACAACTCTTTCCCCATTTAATAAACAACTATTTACAGTGTCAAACTAACTAAAAGCTTTCACTGGGAAACCTGAGGATATTTGAAGAAGACTCATTTTCCTTATAAATCTTTATCATATACCAGTGACTTAGGTGAACCCAAGAGACAATTATCCTTACCTGCTTCCTTCGTAGTGTTCACCACAGTCAAACTCCAGTGACTCTGTCTTCTTGCGTTGATCACCTTCACGGCAAACTCGTACATTGTGGCCGGCTTCAGATCTTCAATCTTCTTGTTCAGCTCCGTGGAGTTGACATACTTTTCCCTCCTGTTACTACCAGTGGCTGGTATGTATTTGATGGTGTAATAGCGATGGTCACTAGTTCTCTGGTTCCCACCCAAGGTGGTGTCTGTCCATGTTACCATGACAGAGGACGATGAGATGATGGTGACCTTCACACCAACTGGAGGGATCATTGGTGTGGTGTTTTCTGCACCTGGAGATTCAAGTCATTTTGCCTTTTGATAATTGTTAATAGGGATGGAACCTTGTCAAGGAGTGCCCTGAATTTGTTCAGAATCCCAATGTGTCAAAGTCTCATTTCAGATTTTTACAATTCCCTTTTTAAACCAATTTTTAATCAAAAAAAAAAAAAAAAAAAAAAAAAAAAAAAAAAAAATTCCCCCAAAAAAACTAAGATAAATTTAAAAACTCTTTATTATATTTCCTTAAGAATTTGGATGGAACTTGTTTTCATTGACTTAAGCATTTAGATGAAACTTGTGAGAGCTAATTTGTTGATTGTCTACTTACTTGACTCATCTCTTGTGGTTCCAGTCTGCAGTCTTTCTCTTCCTACTCCTTTGTGGTTGAAGGCCCTCAAACTTACAACATACTCAGATGATGGTCCTGAAAGAAAATACAAAAAGATGACTTTTTTTTCATTTGACTTCAGCTTTAAAACAAACAACAACCAAGGAAATGTTTTGACTGACTGAAACAAAACATGTTGTTCAGTTCATTTTATTTTGACTCTGCTGTCAGATATAATTTTATAACACTAAGTCATTAGTACCAGAATAAAAACATCTTGAAAATCCTCAAGCTAACACAAATGCCTTGCTAACAATAGCATACCTGCCTTCTTTACATTCACGGCACAAACTTACTGAGATTTTTGATGGTGTACAGTCTTTCATTAGCAGACACATCGACCTGGTAGACATCGGGTACCCCGACGCCATAGCCAATCCTATAACCTCGGATCATCACATTGTCCTGAACAGGAGGGGTCCAGTGGACGACCATTCTGTCTGTGAAGGGCCGCACAGTCAGGGAACTGGGTATACCAGGTTCACGAGATTCTGAGGACAAAACATGTAAAATAATGAACTTTACACCAGCCTTTGTGCTTTGGTGTGTCAAATAATTTTGTTTTCTTTAATAAATTGAATTCAAATCAATCATCTGCATTTACCCAAGTCTTGCGTAATAATAATTCTTCTTATTCTTTGTGTTTTACTCACCATCTAAGTCAGATTCATATGTTTTAACTGAAGTCCATGGTGTGTGTGGACCTGTTCCATTGGTGTTTACAGCTGCCACTCTGATGCTGTATGTGGTATCACGGGCCAAACCTGAAATGACAGGAAAATCACAACTGAACTACATAGTTACCACATTTTATATTTTATCAGAACTTGGTTCAACTATATATAATGCTGGTTTCAACACAGTATGAATGCTTATGGGCAAGATGCAGCAACTAGATGGTATCCAGTTAGATTAAGTAAAGAGATAAACCTTTGATCTGCAACAGGGTTTAATTCAAAACATGAAATCTTATTTTAAAAAAAAAATTTACCTGTTACAGAATAAAGCCGTCTGTCACCATCTGTCATAATGGTGTGTGCCTTGCCAGACTGGCCTCGTTGGCGATACTTAATCTTGTAGCCTGTGATCAGCCCATTGCGTTCATCACTGTAAGGGGGCTCCCACTGTATCAGGATGCTCTGGAACAATAAGACATTTATGCCATAGGTGTAATGTACTTATGTATTGAGTTATGCCATGGTATTTCTGTAATGGTGAATTCATAATATATCTAGAAAATCAAAATTTACTTGAAATACCTTTAATCAAAACTCATTCACTTATACTACTGGTAGACCTAATGTAAAATATGAAATTATTACACAAAAGAAGAATGCTTAAATCTTAGTTATACTTTTTTAAACTGCATACTTACATTTGATGTGCTTGGTTCCACTGTAACATTTTGTGGTGGGCCTGATGGCGCTGTAGCCAATGAATAATATGTTAATGCAATTATCCTCAACACCCTTATGTGGTTTCAAACAACAAAATTTAACAGCATACTTTTAAATATGGAAACCTCATTACATGAATATATTAGAGAAGAATCAATTTGTTAATAAGATAAAGCAGAACCATACTGATAAACTTTTACACATGTACAGAAACAACATTTAGTAAGGTGGGAATTCTCTAAACAATCCAAGAATTGTAAAAGCTGGTGGTCATATGCACACAAACATAAATACATAACAAGTGAACAATTTTTTTCCCATTCCATGCAGTATATTATATCTGATACAACTATTCCAGTGTACCTGCAGAGAAAGTCCTTGCTGACACCTCATCAGTGCTCATCCCAGGACCATTCTGGTTAAATGCCACAACCCTGAAGAAACATTCTGTGTATGGACGCAGGTTAGCGAGAGTGTATGAGGTGGTACTACCAGGAACTACCACAGCCATCTCGTGGGTATCCATTGCCTTATAGTAGTGGATCTTGTACTCTCGGATGTTCCCATTGGTCTTATTGGGCGGTGACCATGTGATCTGGAGTTCTCTTGTAGAGAGCGCCATTGCTGTGAGGTCTCGTACTTGAGTTGGAACATGCACTGGAGAAGAGAAAAATGCAGGGCGAATTATTAAATGAATTCCAATGGTGAATTCTACAAAATCAAAATTGAAAGTATCTACTCAACAGTTTTCTGGAAGCTAAGTACAGCATTTCTCAGGTGACTGGTAATCTACCAGTCCACTAACAGATAGAAATTATTATTTTTTCTGTATCTTTCAGTATTGATGACACCAAAATTCATATCTCAGCCATATCCCAGTACTGACCTTCAGGCTGGGTGGTGAGCTGTAATGTTTGTGCATCTCCCGAGCCATGGCTGTTGGCTGCTAACACACGGAAGGTGTACCTGGTGGCAGGCTTCAGAAGCTGGACGTTAGCATCAGTGGAGGTAGTATTCATGACTCTCTCTCTGCAACATACAAATACATTCAATATTAAAAAGTTGTTTTATTAGACCTAGCAAACACTGACTTACCAAGCATCTTCTCATATCCATATATGTCAGCTTAGTTCTCAAATCTTGTAACATCCCTGATGATAATTTTTAACGTTTATGTACATAGGGTCAATGAACTTACCATTATACCATGCACATTATCCTGGAGCAGTTTCAAAAGTACTGTAATACTTACTTTTGAAACTGTTATTTTCTCATATAAATTGAAACCTTATACTTTATACATTAAAAGCAACAATGATCTTACCTATCAGATCCTTGGGCTTTCCAATAGACGGCATAATATATTGGTCCCTCTCCAGTCTCCTGAGGTTCTTTCCACTTCAAGGTAATGAAGCGAATGCCCACCATGACGGCTTTGAGCTCTCTGGGGGCTGAGGGGGGCTGCCCCTGCGCGACTGGCTGGTCGCTACCTGCAGGAGGCGTGGGTTGTGTGGTGTGAGGGGATGGAGTAGGGATGGGGACATCTGGAGTCGGGCAGAAAAAGAAGAATGTCACCAAAACTAAATATACGGAAAGCCACGGTACAACAGCATGACAAAAACACATATCACATGCCAGGCACTGATACTATTTGCGTGAATAAATATATATGCTGAAACTAAAGATAGAAAGGATGCAGGATATGATGATATGTATATCACATTCAGTTATTACAACAACAATTCTACAAGGTATACTGGAATAAATCAAAACAAAAAATAAGTGCTACCATGCAGGCTTGCACAGACAGATAACCTTCATGTGAAAAATAAATGGTGATCATAGTAAAATGTCAGCACCTCCACCATTTAGTACCAATTGTGAATCAAATTTGAAGAGTAGCATTTTGCTAAGCATCATGATCAATTTTGTCTAAATTACACAGAATGTAGCTTTCTATGAATTTTTCACAGGAGCTTAACATATTTTTTCACTGAAAGTTTTGTACTTGTACATTTTTTTATATATATTTAAAAAAATAAGAAAAGGAGACATTTTGGGAGTCACACTCCCTACAATAATTTTTTTCACAATTGGCACATATTTTCTTGAATCACAAAATCAGTTATGCATGAAAAAATAATTACCATCACAAACATGCACTGAACCAAATCAAAAGGTAATATTGTGAAACATAAAAGGGAATTAGTATGGCCTCCCTCCCTCACCCCTATTGCCCGCTTTTTCTTAGCAGAAATCTGTGCACCAACTTCAACAGAATATCTCTCAATGAATCACTTTCAACAAAAATGTTTGAGTTTTATAAAAACAGTCATAAATGTGTTATAAATATAGCATTTTCCAAAAATCAACATGACATAAATGGATAATGAACTGCATTGGGAATTCTGGTAATGCAAAATACACACCCCATAGATTTTGTGGTCTATTTGTTCTAACTCAACAATTGTCCCTGTATCTCATAAAAATAATACAATTTGTAAGCTTCAATTTCATAGCATGATATACTTTATTGTTGAATTTAGGATAAGGCATCGTAGTTTCATTCTAGAGAGGTTTAAAAAATGTCATAGATATTTCTTGTCTATAATTCAAGAATTAAGTACCTATTAGCATGAGCATTCCTTAACAGCACAACACCCATTAACCCTTTCTTTTAATGGATAGGTTTTCATCATGATTCAGTATACCAAACACTGCCATATATCTTCACTTTTCCACACATATTATTCAGATGATCAATTCCAATTTGTCAGATCTACTCTATGTGTTATACTATACAACATGCAAACTACACATGCAAAGTAACAATAACCACCATGCACATCAGCCCCACTGTATCACCAGGAAATGCTGCAAAATGTGCTGGATGTAGGGGATATCTAGTAGGTGGGTAAGACACATAAATAAAGATTGGTTGGTATAGCAAAGAAGGTAGGTTCGTAGGTAGGTAGATAGATAGGTAAGTGGGTAGGTAGAGTTTTGGTCTCTAGATGGATTGGCAATGAAAAACAAAACCTAGAGTTCTTTTATTTTTGGTCAAAATAATGCAGCAATTGATGCCCATTTTTTTGCTGCTCATAATTAATCTAGACTCTAGGTGTCACCATCCATCAAGACACCCCTGTACTCTTTAGTCACTCAGATGTATTCCAACCCCTCATTACCACCAAATTATTTGAACAAGTGAGAACATTTTCTTGAAATAAATATAACAATTCTGTATGGAAGAAGATTCCTAAGTTGATGAATAAAAAAAGGAATATAAATAAAAACTCATTAAATGGTAAAATAATGTGTCTGTAGTTAGATTCGGAATGTGTGTATATGTATATTCCGAATATATATACTAGCAAGATTTTTTGCTGCTGTACTCCTAAAGCCAAGTCTTATGTATGAGATGGCAGCAACTAATCAGAACTAAATTACAAGAAAGACAAACTAGTTTTTCTCCACAGGCAGCAGTGCCATTATAGATCGGCAGCACTGTTAACCATATGGTGTTGCTGACACACTATATTAGTGAACGTAGCTTCCTAAAAGAATTTGAGTTCTATTAGCTAGGTCTAGTTAGCAATGCAGCATTCATCTGTTTACACGAGGTGTGGCTAAGACACAGGTTCAAATTTTGAACTGAAAGGTATATAAATAAAACACTTGTAAAAACAAGGTTTAACAGANAGCTTCCTAAAAGAATTTGAGTTCTATTAGCTAGGTCTAGTTAGCAATGCAGCATTCATCTGTTTACACGAGGTGTGGCTAAGACACAGGTTCAAATTTTGAACTGAAAGGTATATAAATAAAACACTTGTAAAAACAAGGTTTAACAAAGTGCAAATTTACAGACACATAGGCACCCACCAGGGTAGAACGCTCAGTCAATTAAAGTCAATTCAAAACAGACCTCATTCAACAGTCATTAATAAAACATTAACATCGGCAAAGCCTTCAGCCAAGACATGAAGAAATAAAAGCAAAAACCAACAAACCTGAAACGTAATTCAACTCACTTACAGATCGATAACTTAACAAAGCATGGTGAGAAACTGGTCTAGAAAAATCCCAAGACATTTCTTCTCTTGCACTACTAAAAGCGAATTGTAACAACTCAGAAATATCTTCACTGAGATATTGAGTGCTAAACCAATATCTTCATCTCTACAGGAGGATGGATGATCTCAACTAGGATTAATTAGGAACCTCTATATGAAATCCAATTACAAACCAATAAGCTCACCTAAATCTACCACTCCCCCAGCACCTAACCATCACCACATATATTGATGATGAATTCTCTAGGAACTCCACACTTCAGTGATGCTATTAAGTTATTATACTAACCTGGCTGGAGAACCACCAACTGGGCACTGGCTTGCACATTGCCTACAGCGTTTTCCCCAAAGCACTGGTAAAGTCCATCGTCTGAAATCACCAGACCGAGGATCCGTAGGTGCTTTCCATCTATAATTTGGAAGTAATCACTCGGGATGACAATGTCTCCGTTTTTCATCCATGTAATCTTGGGGGTGGGGTTACCATAGATTTCGCAGTCGAACTGTACATCTGCATTCACGTGTGCATAGAAACTCTCCGGCTCTTTGACAAATCTTGGTGCCACTGAAACATGACAAGAAATTAATGAATCTCCTTAGCCTTGTCTGCATTTGTTTTTCTCAATCCAAGTCTGTGTTGATTGCACTCAGGTGCTCAGTGACCTGCAGAGTAGATATTTATATTGAGCTAATGAACAAGGACCATCGTTAGCAACAATGACTGCATGAAGTTTAAGAGCAGTCAGTGGACCGAAAATGTTTTTATCTGCTTCAGTACAGCTGAGAGCAGAAGCATTCAACCAATTTGTTCTGTGTAAAAGGCAACACTTTAAGCTGTAATTCACATGCAATCTAAAATGTCATTACCTCCTCTTCACTTAGCATTGAACAGTGTTGGCAATGGTGAACTTACTTTTTCACTAAATTTTTGATATTTATATTTATGTTTTTTTTTATGTATATATTACATAAAAATTTTAATACCTAAACCACGTTTCAAACATTTATAGTATGTCAGCAAAAGGTGAACTGAATTTTAAGAATTATTCCAATTGGCACATGCAATACCTTGGACAACAAGGGTTGCGGTAGCATCGATGGAATCTTCGTTGTTTTCAGCACGACAAGTATATAACCCCGCATCAGCCTCTGTAACACTTTCGATTCTAAGGGAACCTAGCCCAACAACTGAGAACCGGGCATTTTCTGGTTTCCTGAAAAATGTTATTGTTATTTTTTATTAAATGAGCCTTTTCATTATAAACCTATATCATTTTCATGCACAAGGGAGAACTGAAAAAGTGTACGCCATTTTATGACATCATAATCACAAGATATGTAGTAATAGGAAAGCAAAATGGAATGGTTATAAGATACAATTCCCATAAATCATCGTCAACAAGTATCATAAATCAAAGCAAGTTCAAACAATGAGAGGGGGAATATAATACAGTGACCAGGAAAAAAAAAAAAAAAAAAAAAAAAAAAAAAAAAAAAAAAAAAAAAACTGACTAACAACCACCAGAATTTCCTTTATCCTTTCCTGGGTCAAGCTGTCAAAAAAAAAAAAAAAAAAAAGGATAAACCACACTGAGGAAATGAACTGCATACAAAATCTTCTTTCTGGAAGGCATGAGACCAGAGTTACAACATACTCCCATGGACCCTGCTTGCCAAAAGTGTATCCTTCAACTAATTCTGACATGAGGCCAAAAAATTTGTATCTCCTGTAAGTGCCAACATCTGTTAACACTAAACAAACCTCTACTACGTTTATGTAACATGACTTGGGCTGTAAAGTTTATTTTATATGTAAAAGCATTTTTTAAATCCAAATCCCATACTGCACGTGGCCTGCACTCACATCTCCCAGGGACACTGAAAGTACAACACCTGAAACCTTTTAACATCAAAGACGGCTTTACAACTTAATGTACATCAGACATAATGGCGCACAACAGATTCTCAAGAGGGTCTCTTGAATTAACAAGACAGACTGGAGAGAAGAGGAACAGTTCAGACTTTCCTCAGCACCATCCATTGTGGGAATGTGTCCCCACATAAGGGGAAGACCCTTGCCACTTGTGAATGGCTCACATTGTCTACAGAGTTTCTTTCAAACCTTTCTAATTTATGGTGGCTCCCTTTTCTTCTGCTCCAAAAATTTAAAAACAAATAAATCAGTAAAACTAAAGAAAGAACCCATACATGGTCCTCCTAGCACTTTTTCATGGACTGATAAAGATCAAAGTATGCAAGTGCAGGATGGCATCTCTGTCACAGTAAATGTATTAATAGCCTGCCCCGATAAAGCAAGTTTCATGGGGATATTTCCCAACAAAACAGGATATACGGGACAAGTAACTCATTGTTTTGCAACTGACACTGTCATACAATATGGGGGAAATATATGCCACCAACTAGGGATCAACATTTCTTCAGCACCTAGAAAGGTTTCTTGAATAGTTTATAACAACTAAGCTTACCAAACTTATCAGCGTTTTAGACATCAACAAGCTCATTATTTAACATTTACAAACTTTGCCTTTACTTATACACATGTGTGCTATCAATTTTCTGTGGAAATGTCAGAAAATAAAATTAGCAATGCATATATCATAATTTTAAAAATACAACAATTAAAGCAGCAAATGTGAAAAAAGGACATATATATACAAAAATATATATATACAAATATATATTTACGTTGTATCAATGGTAGTCCCAGACTTGAGCCACATAATTTGTGGTGTGTTTTCTTGAGAATCTCTGCCATTGGCTCCACAGTATAAGTGCACTGTGCTGCCTTCTAGGACAGTGGTGTCTGTTGGGGTGATGATAAACCTGGGAGAAACACCTTTGTATGTTGCTGAAAAGACAACGTGGGAATGTTTCATGCACAATCTCTTCTTGTAGTATAAGTTGTTACAGTGAAAATAATGCTGTTTGCAATTTAAACAATTCTGATCAACATTTTAACTTTTTTTTGCTTAAAGGAGTTATAGAATGTTTCAAATTTTGTTTGGAAGGACAACATTGGTACTACTACTACTACTACTACTACTACTACTACTACTACTACTACTACTACTACTGTCTTTTCTAATTACCAACAAATTGCAATGGCTTTAAGATAAAGACAGCAGACTTCCATTACTACTTGCATAGTAATCTTCCACGGCAACTTCTGTTAGTTGTTTCGCCACACCATTCTTACATTAATAAATAGTGTTAGTATCCAAAGCTGACAAGAGCTAGTAAAACATATCGAAAATTATCAAAGGTGACAGCAACGGTGAGGATTTATTAGTGGCCTGAGATTCAGCTCACGCCATGTAACCAATTTCATTTCCTATAGGCACACCTCTCACGGGTTATCCTCCCAGCATGACAATGAAACAATAAAAACTGAAAACCATACAAGTCCTGGGTCATCCCACACTCATTATTTAAAGCAGTAACACAATGTCCAACAGCGAGTAAGCTCAAAATTTTATGATACGAGATGAAATAAAAATTGTTACAAGACACCACCCCCCACGGCATGCAGTCACACAGAAAAAAACCACTTCTTTGGAATTCTAGCTTTTACATGGATGATTACTCTGTGCCATATAGAACAAGATGCAGTGAGGTAGAACTAACTTACATGTATCGGCATTCTGGGTCAAGCTGGCAACAGCACTGGTTGACACTTGCGGCCGTGATCTCCCAGGCTCGCTGTACTCAGATTTACAATGATATTGTCCCAAGTCTGAGAATTTGACATCCTGAATTTCCAGTATTCCATCTGGATAAATTCTTAATGTCCCACCAGGGGAATCTGAAAGTTCTGTACTCCCTTTAAACCACACAATACTGGCTCTAGGTATAGAGTCTACAGCACAAGTGAACACTGCATTGTCTCCTAAATGCACATTTACATTTTTTGGTTCCTCTTTAAAGTCTCTGTTAAAATCTGAAAAACATAAAAAAGCAAATTTCAGTCAATTGTAAAGAAAAAAAAACCTTTAAGAATAAGAAAATATCTCTTAAATCTTTCAAGCATATTTAATATTATAGCATATTTAATATTATAGTGTCAAATACAGAGAGTGAGTGGGGAAGTTGAAAATATCTTCAGTCAGATATCTGTATCCAATAATATATAATAATCTATCCTAGCGTTTTGTAAATGGTGTTCTGTTCATGCTGCTTATACTAATACATTGAAATTTTAAAAAAAATTGCAAAAGATTAATTCCCATTTATAACAAATGACTCATAATTCCAAGTAGAGCAAATTTTCTATTCCTCTCATTACATCCAATTACAGCATGTTATAAATAAAGATATGGATCTTACAAAGCTAAATTCATGCCCAAGCCATTTCATGACTGCCTTGATAACAATCTCATCTAACGCAAGTGGAATATGATAATCAAGCCCATTAATAACTGACATTATATCCCAAGTGGATTATTATCACTGCCTGTAGTCATACCTGACATTAAGGTGAAGTGGTCTTAATGCTCCCTAACATCTGCTGTGGGAGGACAAATTTAATGGCCTTTGTAACCTATACATCTCTCTCTCTTTCTCTGTGCATGCATGCGTGTGTGCTTACTCACACACGGGCGCATGCATGCATTTCTGTATCTACGAACCGTATGTGTGTTTGTGCACTCCACCAGTATACTTACATCCTACTTGTAGCTTGGCTGCCCTACTGACTAGTGTTCCAAGGCCCATGACTGTGGCCACACACTTATATACACCCTCATCTGGTCGTGATGAACGCGTGTGCTCAATGGACGAGAAATATAATGACCCGTTATTTAATTTATATCTGAAATGAAACAAAATGAGAAATTACTATCTAATTGCATTATCTAACTGATATTTTTGACAATATGTGTATCTATTATTCAAACTGGAACAATAAAGAGAAAGGACACAAAGGGGCTTTCACCTACGTACAAAGAATCAATACAGCATCAAGTCACACAACTGAAGATTTTTTCTTTTTTTCATAATATATGATATACTTCGGGGAAAATTTTTCAATTTTTTAGTTTTTCACAAAAACTATTGGGTTTTGTAAAAGGAATTATTTTACCTCCTTGAGTCTCCATTTAAGGACATATATACACCATCCCTGATCCACTGAGTGCGCGGTGTATTCCCACTGTTTTCTGCTGAACAGTTTAAAAGTGCTGGGTAACCCTTGTATGCTATGATATTGGAGGGTTCTACTGTGAAGTGGAAGCTACTAAATGTGTGGGTTTCTTGGCCTGAAATGTTAAGGATTCACCATTGTTGAATCAAAAAAATTATACTATCACATATGTAACCTAAAATGCAACATGTGAAACACAATATATAGATATAACAATCAAAAGGAATATATTTATTACTGGTTGTGCTTCAACCCAAGTTTATCATTATACTTCCTCTAGCTCATCTATGTTTTCTTGTTTTTGGCATGCAATTGCTTTTATTTTCTCTTATGAATGAAATATAACAACACTTATCAGCTATCACTTTTACTACATTTTCATATCTGTCATAAAAATATGGCTACATCCCAGCACATAGTTTTCCTGTCATAGTACATTCTGTTGCATGTATCTGGCATTTCTGAACAGGATTTTCATTCATTATTTCTTAATACAACATTGAAAATGACATTTTCCATTAGCACCTCATCGCACGCTACATTTTTTTCAAATTGAAAGACAGCGAGATGGAGATCAGAGTAGCATAAAGCAAGTTAGCTCTTCCTTCCTCTATTGCAAAATGCGATAACCAGGCAAGGTTTACATATCATATTCCTTATTATCATCTTACAAAAAGGCAGTTCATCAATCTCTTTCAAGATTTTTTATAAAAGACAGTCGGCTACATAGGCCATGTTTACACCTTAGATGTTCAATTTCTAGGTTGCACATGGATGCATACAGGTAAGTAGGAATAAAGCACATTATTTACATGAACAGAAAATAAACAAGGTGCTACTCAGTCAGTGCTATTGTGATTATTGTTCTTCTACCATTCCAATTTGACCCATATTTAATTATTATTTAACTCCACTTCTGAAAACCCAAGATTTCAGTAAATATCTCTGAACAGTGAAATAACTCTGTGTTCTAAATGATAACTGCATGTCAGCCATAATTATCCATCCACTATGGAATATGGCAGGCTGTCAAAATCATCCTTATATTAAGTCCCTCAAGAATGCCCCCAGAGAAAACTAGTGCCATAGATCTCCTACGCCAAGTACAACAGTATTGAAGATACTAAAGCAAGGGTAAGCAGATGTTTAACAATGAAGACCAATCCTTAAACAAGACAATATAAAGAAGCATCCAGCAGGCACACTTTATATTTCATTAAAAACCACCTGAAAAGATATTTGTATTTTCTTTCAATGTCTTTGCAGAAACCCAGCCGAGAATGTGCAATAACGCAACTGTCCCTGTTGTGAGGATGAGGGACGTACAGCACATATATTTTCTACATTAGAATGGGAGTACTGAGGTTATAACTGAAAATAATACTTGGTGACAATCAAACCCACTTGACCCTGTTCTGACCTCTCATGCCTGCAAACAATGGACAGCCTCACATAATTTACTCTTAGCAGACCATGAAGTTGAAGAGGGAAATACAATCTATGGGAACAGTGTTGTATATAGTAATACGTCACTCTCCATAAAAAAGGCCCAGTCTGTCTCAAGCTTCAAAGATAAGAACAAAATTGGCATACTGAAAATAGAAAAAAAAGGAGTCCATGAGAGGAGACAGTACATGATTGAGGATTGGTAAAACAATCCATCAATACAAGGTGAAACAAAATGACATGCAAGTACGTCACATTAAATGGGCCAAAATCACCTTTCATTCAACCACTTCAAAGAAATGGATTTTCAAACAACCTCACCACAAAACAAGGACCTGTTTTTTTCTCCGTTTCAATTAAGCCCAGCAGAAGACAGATGATGCTGACTTTAAATTAGACTATATCCCTGCATGAGGTTCAAATACTGAAAGGACCAAAACCCTAGAAGTACTGCAATCTATTCAAGTGTTCTTTGTTTGTAATAACAGAGAACTTCAGGAGCAGGTGGGGAAGATGGAGAAGACGTCTGCGCAAATAACTTTACCGCATATTATGCCAGGTTAGTTCTAGATTAGGAAAGCCTGGTCTACCATAATTAGCAGTGTCTGGTGTCACCTAAACAGCAGTGTTAACCTGGCCCTCCAGTGCACCTCATCTTAACCCACAGCTGGGTACCAGCCTAGCCTAGAACACTTTTTTCTCATACACCACAATGCTGCCCCAAAATTTCTTCCCTATTACAAAGACGTTCCTCAATAAGTTCAAGAGAGTGACTAATGATGTTTATGAGACCTGAAGGTGGTATTACTATAGGCACAGTACTACTCTGTAACATACAAGTCAACTCACATGGGAAACTTGCAATAATATCTGTCTGGCCATGCTTCACACACACCAAGCAAGCACTTCAAGCAATGAAGCTTTAATACGAGATAAGTGCATCCAGAAAATTTGCCTCACGGAAAAGAAAAAAAGGACACTCAAGGCAAAATTACACAAATGCCAGCCTGTGACTATTACTCTTTACTTGGGGACTTACGTAAGAGTAATTAATAAACAAAACAAATACCGTTTCTCGAGAGCAAAGAATTTCACTTGTTAAGTTATATAATTGTATTCACCCTGCCCACTAGTTAAGAGAGCACATACAGGTACAAAATCATAGGAGGTTTAATCCATTTTTCTCGGGGCAAAAATGTTGGACAATATCAGTGTTGTCAGCTCTATGTACAGCATGGTCCCACACACATTTCACTGAGCCATGCCAGAAGCACCAGTGAAAAGGGAATCAAAACACTTCCAAGTTTTCCACAATAATGATTTAGCTTCAAATAAAAGAGGGTCTTTAAGTCTAAAATTGCACATAAAAGCCGTAATCAAATTCATCTCCGATAATGAGGCACATCTGCTCTGAGGTTTTCCTTTACTAATTCAATAAGAAGAATCATGGACAACGAATATCGAACTGTGAGCTTGTAAGCAGGTCCCACACCATGACAAGTATACTATTGTAACAAGAGAAGGATTAACCTGGTTCTATATGAAACCAACTCCCAAGATGAATAACATCAATAACAGAATGGGAAAAAAATCTTTGTCAGCTTGCTTTTGCACTTAGAAATCAACTAGTCAAAATAACAAGCCTCTGGGTTCCCCTACTTCTTTTATGAGTGGTTTTAACGATCCTAATAAGACATGTGCTTTATGCGCAAACTGTCCTTAATACCCTAGTTTTATACTTTTTATAGCTACCCAAGATTTCTGTTATTACCCAAATGTGATAAACGGTTATGGTGTAAGTACTAATTCTGTACTTGTGACCTTGGGTGTTGTTTTAAACTCACTGGACCAGACAATTAACCAAAAAGTAGAGTACTAACTAGAATTCCGACTTGTCAGAAAACAAGCAAATTAAGGCATACCACGCATAGTGAATGTATAAAATATATGAGAGGGTGTAATACGTACATGTCTGTTCATGTAGCTTGCCTTTGTCTGGATCAACAATGCCTTTTGGCATAAAAAAAAATATTTTAACCGAGATGTCTTTTACTCATGATTCAGTGCAAGATTTTTATACACACATCGGACACTGTATTAAGTCACTTAACATGATTTTGTAGATACAAGGTCTGACCCTGTGCTCATTTTACCATTATATGTATCCTGACTTTAACAGGAAAAGAATCTTATCAGAAGACCTGACTGATAACTGACAAGATATGCATCCACCATACATTTATCAAAAAAATCTGAAATAAATGAGGAAATTCTGGAGTTTTGCATTTACATAAAGACTTGAGCCATGAGATTTGAATAACTTTAATGATGCCCAGTGGGGTAAATTTAGAATATGTAACAGGATTCAAATACACCAGCAAATCGAAATAGACAGGCCAACTATATTACTTCTTACACTGATGGCCTTATGATACTACTTTTGCCAAACCTTTTCATTTTTCATATTTTAGAAGTAACTAACACTTGAGATGCCTATGGCAGGACCCTTCAACTTAAATTCAAAGAATTTTTCTATTTAGATAAATTTCTGAAGTATCCTTTATCTTCTTTCTAACATCTTTATAAGGCTTAAGAGGGTATGACAGGCCACTCCACTTCACTTCCAATTTAAAAGTGTCTTCTTCTTATTTAGTACTAGAATACAGTAAATATTTACCCCAGAAAAAGACTGCTACTGTTATAAAAGTGAAATGATGAGCAAATGGAAATGAATCACTTTCCCATGAAGAAAAAGTAGACAAGAAGAAACAAGCATGGATTCATGTGCCCCTTCTATCAGTGAACTAATTTAAAAATTGCCTGAGAGCTTCAAAGCCACCGATATAATTGCAAAAATGCCATACCCAACTCAATTATCTCTGGATCAAGTTGTCAATGTGAAAATACTTATCATATTCAACACATAAGCATAGACATGCTTTAAACCGTGAAGTTTCAATAATCCCCCACAATCATCAATAGATCAGAGCAAAGCTCTAGATCGAAATTTTCTAAAGTGAATGCTGAGTTAATGACTGCTGTTCCCTCTTTTTCATACATGCTCTCCTCACTGAATACCTTCTGAGAGCCATCGAAGTATTTTGTCGCATTTTTCACCTAAAGAAAAGAATTACGTGAGCAAGTAAATCACTCTTTGACAAAACATCCTCTGTTAAAGTCGGCATTGTCGCTCCCTTCCTTTTCTTATTTTTTCTATCAAAAGCAGGTTTCCATCCAAAGGCACCAATAAGGTCAGGAGGGCGACACTAATCAAAGGAATTAATTAAATCCGTACTTCCAAAGAGGCAATAAAGTGGAGTAAAGTTAGCAATAAACTACCAGCACTGCTAAAGGAATTGCACCTATACTGTAGGAAAGGGGCATTAATGTCAAATTGGTTTTCCTATGCCATTTGCCTTTCTTCTAAACACTAGCCAGATAGGGCAAAGATTGAATGGGGGCCTCCCTACCTGAGAAAACACAGATTAAGTAGACAGAGTGATTGGAGGTAACTACTAAGAAAACATTATGGGATGCTTCTTGTGTAGATAATATTTTTACAATGAAGAAGAGATATAAACAACACCCTTTTCATTTCTAAGTTTGAAAATATACATGTCATAAGAGTTGTTATTTGAAGAGTAGAACTCAACTTCCTTTTTTATTGTC